AATGTTTGACATTCACTGGGGTAACGCCTAGCTTGTCATACTATACTTTCCCTTTGGACAAAGTCATGACTCCAGTCATGACTGGAATCATAACTTTGTACTCTGTGCATCTATACCCAACCATGGAAATACCTGTAATTTGCTGAAAGCCGTATTTATATTGAAACAAATGGATGTCATAAAGCGTGCTTTCCTAAACTGTTTCCAAAACAATTGCTGGAGTTATTTTGGGGGTGCTGTGATCTCATTCATCTTGTCTGGAATCTTGTCCGACTCCCCAAACGGACAGCACAGGTTGGTTTCCCCAGAAGAAACAGGCCATGTAGAAAAGAAAGGACCACAGATGTGGGAGTGGAACAAAGTCCTGTATGATCTGTATGAGGAAAGTTACAGTACGTGATTTCTTCATTGATGCTCACATGTGACACACTGCTGAAGTTTTAGGATTTTATGTGAAAATGCTCTACTTCAGTGTAATGCCCTTAAAAACTTGTATGTATCAAGATTTCAAGTTATCTTCAACCCCATTGATGAAGACTTTTTTTTTTTTTTTTAATAACCATGGAATAAACTATAAGTTGCTCTTGGTTAGTGTCAAAAGTAGGAATGTCTGTCTGCAGAAAGGAAATTTTCACTTGGCAGCAGGATGGAGTCTGGTGAGGAATCTTCCAACCACACTGATGAGGGCTAGATCAACAGAAAGAACATAAAATTCACATAATAAAAGTGAATGTTTATGACATATTCAAAAACAAGTGTATAGACACATACAGAGAAGCCATTCTTTTTTAATAATAAAGATTTGGAATATTGCTTAATGGTGCAAAGCTGTTATCACACCATTTGCTTTACCCACAAATAAGATTCCTACAGTTGAAAACACCACTTTGCATTTACCAAACACTGTACGAGCAGAAGCAATAGAACACATGAAATGAACTCATCCACCTCAGTTACAGCTGGTGTGTTAAAACAGGGTGGGACCACGTGCATTAAGTGAAAAAGTAAATTCTGTTTGTTAAAGGCAATAAAAGCTGAGACCAAAGAAATTCTTCTGCAATCATTTACGAGTCGGATACTTCAAAGGGAAAGTTTCAGGAACCTGTGCTCCCTAGGGACACAGGGAGCCAGAAAAGAAATGCTAGCATGAGGGCAACACCAGCCACTCTCTCAAACATTGTGGTTCCTAAGCTGTGGCTTAGGGGTACTCTAATTTCACACTTTCTAAACACAGAAATAGAAATTTTGAAGTGCTACTAAACACATATTAGATCTTTACTGCTCTTAAGTCAGGGTCTCAGGTGAACAGACAATATTCTTTGCAAACTGTAAAATTTGATGGGCAAAACCACTCAGTTATATGGCTGTTTACGGAGCCATTTTGCTGCTGCTCATCAAAGTGCAGGAGTTGCCACCCATAAGAAAGTGAAAATTGATTTTCTGTAGAAAGAGAACAGAAAGAAAAATCATGAGAAATGTTTTTATTTTTTGGTAAATCAAAAGAAAAGGAGTAAAGAGATTAAACCCAACTTGTTTAACTGGTCCTTATACTCCTCTGCATATTTTTTAAAACTACCACAGGTAGAAATCTAAATATAGAAGAGATTTTGTATTCTATTTCGTAAATTTGGTGAGTAACCCATAAACTTGTGTACTTTCATGCAAGTTATAGTAATAAAATAAGTATATTTAGCAAAATTTTCTCCTGACTCTGCCAGAATTTGTGGCATCTTTTTATTCAGAGATAATTGACATCAACTGGAGCCATTCAGAGACTGAATATGGTAGGGGAAAGATGTCTGAAATTCTGAATATAATTTTTAAACTCCTAATACCTTGAATTAAATGCATATGCATCTATGAAAACTTTCTCTAAATGTTTATTAAACACATCAAAATTATTTGGGAATGCTTATTTACATTACACATTATCACAATAAATAGCTCCTGACATTGTCTTCTGTCTTAGCTCCAGCTGACATACATTAGACAAACCCTGGGTCTGGACTATCAATCATGTCTTGCATGTTTCTGCATTTCTGATCAGTTTGGTGCAGTACTGCACAGAGCCAGTAAAACCTCAGTGGGCAGCAGGGAGTTTGTTCACTTGTGTATGGCATATGAGATGCTGTGAAAAAAACAAGCAGAAAATGCAACAGCAAACCAGTGTGACTTTGAAATCACTCACCTGTACACTACTGAAAGCTGTAGGAAAAGCCTATTTTTTTTTACTCAAATGAGCAAACTGGTGTTTAGCCCTGCTGTAGTTCAAGAGCTGACTCATGTACTAGTCAGCTATGATGACTTCTGCTGGAGCAGCAAGTACCTAATCTTAACCCCTTAGTAAATGTGTGGTGTCTACTTCATCTACATGTAAAATGAACATAAACTAGTTACACATAAATTTATGTGGAAATTGCCAATAAACTATGGGATTTTTTATCTACCGAGGATCTAGAAGAGCCTTCTAATAGCAACAACTGTGCAACCTCCTTTGCCCCAAAGCAAGAAGCCCATTTTGGACCGCAAGGCGCTCACTATCCACAGCCCAACCCAGGCATGCAGCACGTGCAGGAACTGCTTGGGTTACATGACCGAGAGATGCTTCTCTTTCCCAGGACCTATCAGCACCCTGAGCATCTAACAGCACCCACAGAACAACACACGCCAGCATGGTGGTGGTATTTCAGACAGTGTCAGAGATAAATTGAGTCCTTTTGGAACAAGCTGACTGTATTTCAGTGACAAATTCCACAGTTGAAGGGGGTTTCTGCTCCATGATGCTGTGCCAAGCTGCATTTATATACCTAATTTGTTAATAGGAAAGCCTAAAGATGACCATGTGCTTTTGGGACAGCCAAACCCTCAGGACTCTGCATAATACAGAACCCCATGACCAAGTGTTTCATATAGGACTGTCTCGTTACTATGTAACTCTGAAATTTCAATTAGTGGCAGCTTCAGCTGCTGTCATCAAGCTCACAGCAATAAAAGCAGTGAAGCAAGTGCCTCCTGAAGCCCTGTGTCAGCAGGGAGGATCCTCTGCCTGCAGCTGAGGAATGCAGCCCCATTAGACCCATCAGAGCGACCCTGGATAAAACAGCGCGCAGAGGTCTGGTGTGTAAGTCACGCATTAAACAGGTCCCTCGCATTTGCTTCCCCAGAGCATCTTGCCTGCACACACATCCACAGACCAGTTCTGTGGAACTGCTTTGCTTATTCATGGCCTGCAATACAGAGCTTAGTTAAAGGGCTGCGTACTTGAAACATTAGGCACTTGACTCTTTAGAGTGGAATGCAAAATTCATAGATGTCACGGGCTTCATGACTTCAAAGGTGAGCTAAAAACCTGCACAGGGCTAGCCAAAAGGTATGTTAGGCAAGGCAAATGATGTGTCCCAACCCTCCATGCTCTCTGCGGGTTAAAGCCCCAAGGCTTCCAGCAACTCTCTGTGGCCCACTCAAGGTCTGCGTCTAAGCCAGTTTGTAGGTAATTACTGCATTTTGAACCCCCTTTCTCTGAAGGTCATTTCATATTACTAATTACATCTTTTTTGCTACAATGGCTTGGAGAAGGAAGGTCTTGACTGGAAAGCCTTAAATGCTGAATTTTCCACCTCAGCTGTATATTCCTATGAACAGGACACAGCCAAGTCCAATCAAGTCTTTCAGGCTCAGGATTATGCTGTTTGTATTCACAGAGAATTTCCCAGTGTTTGATTTGGACCATTTAGTCAGGCTTAATCCTCCAGCAGCTCTGACTGACCATTAATTATCCCTGCTGTATTTGGAAGCGCTGACCCTACATCTTGGGCAACTTATTTGCGTATACATTTAGAATTTACTCTTAGGAAAGAAAAAGTAAAAAATAAAAATCAGACATTGATGGCTTTGGAATCGAATGACCCAAGCTGCAGTAAATGTTAAATGCACAAGTTTTAACACGATAAACGAAACCACAGGACACGGGACAGACTTTAGAACTGATGCTATTAACAGAGAGGGAAAGCCTCCTTTGTGCTATATGCGATGTTAGAGCTGGGGTTGGCAAGGGCTAAAGGCCGAAGGTGCCCGAGTTACGGGCACGGGTAGGCTCAGCCTAGGCACTGCTGCTGGCGCATTCCGGGTGCGCTGCCCGGCAGGAGCTGGGAATGCGGCCAGGCATCACTCGCCTGTCAGATGTCACAGGCACAGAGCGATTGACTCCTCGGGGGAAATTTTCTTTCAGCATTTGCACTTGCAACCTCGTCCGGGAAAAGGTCTATATTTTCCCCAAGGCCTTGGCAAACTGCCTGTGTGTGTGTAGGGGGGGGCGGCGGACACCAAGCTAGTCCGGGCCCAGCTGCGCAGCTTCAAGCTGCCCCCGAGCCCCTCGGGGCCGCGAGCACCCGGCTCCCCGCTCAGCAGCGCCGGGGAGCTCCGAGCCGGGCCCGGCGCGGCGCGGGGAGAGC